ATGAATTGGAGACTTTAGCATGCCATTTCGCAAAGTTAGAAGGGTGCAAGGTGCAGTGGATTAAGGCCCAAACACATGTGACAAAGTCTGATTGAAATGTTAAGAGGTGAAATCTCTGGGAAAGTGAAAAGAATGAAGAGGAGGATGTTGTGGTGATTGACAGTGATACGGATGAAGCACCCCATGCCATCTGACCCCCTAATACAAAGGAAAGCAAAAGCCCAGCAATAACCCCAGCTAGTGGAACAGCCCCCAATTCTGCAAATGTTCATGGTGAGATACGCAAATGTTCATACGCCCACTGAGCTTACTTATACAGCTGTCAGGTTCAAAAAAAAAAAAAAAAAAAAAAAAAGTCAGGGAAAGTGCCAAATATGGCCACTGTGGCTGTGAGATACAGGGGACAATGAGATTTCTCTGACTGGTCAGGAGACAGAAAAAACAAGGAACATCCCCACACATCTTGTCCTCCAGAAGTGTCTGCATGGCACTCAGGGGTTCAAGGAACAGACTCCCTTATAGATTGCATTATTCTAACCTGCAGGGAGGCTTAGCCCAATGAGGGGGATCTCCTTGGGCACATGGGACCCTAGAAATCTATAGAGGAAGTAAAACAAATTCGTAAAGGGTTGGGAATTCTTAAAGGGTTGGGAATGAGACAGACCATCTATGTCACTGTCTTTGAATACCCTGATTGGGCCACATTCATTTCAGGAATGAAAGCCAAAATACTCCCGTACATCCCCCAGTACAGGAATAAAATCTTGATATCTATGCTCAGCCCAATCATGGGATCAGACATTTATCAGGTTGAGCAGTCCATTGCTGTTTAGCACGAAACTGACAAATGTCAGGAATGGGCATGGGCTATGGCAAAGATCCAAGACAGAGAAGCCAAAAGGCTATCACAACTGGCTGTAAAGTGTCTAGTAAAAGTAACTTGGAAGCGAATGCAGTTTGACCTCCTTGCTGTTGCCAGGGCCCTACCTGAGAAGACTGACAGACAACCCAATGCGGTGTTGGTTGGCCTGTGGAAAGCCTTACAACCTGAACAGCAGTTCAGATCTGACCCTGCCAACCACCGCTACTACCCTAGTGCCTCAGGGATATAGTCCTATTTGGGGGTGCCTCCCATATCCCAGATATACATTATAGGCCAAGGTTTCCTCCAGGTGAAGTCTTTGGGGGTAACTTGAGTCCTCATGTTGAGCTTACTATTTGCCGGTCTGCAGAAATAAACAAAGGGTGGCAGCTCTGGTTAATACTGGAGATGTATGCACTCCAATACATGGTGACCCTCAGAATGAGCTAAACATGAATCAATCTCACATGCATGATGTTTGCTGAGAAAGACAAGACATACAAGAATAATTTCAGTATGACATAGTGTACAAGAACTAGCCAAAACTAAAATATATAACTGGTACATATAAAAACAGCAAAAATTATAAAGTAAGTGACTACTACAAAAATAACAGTCATTACTTTTAAGGCAATGCAGACATTTTGGATGAAGAATGATGCACAAGTAGATTACACCCTCCTGGCAATACTCTAATTCTTGATATGGGTGGTATTTCCCATATTTGGCAACACTATCCTCTATGATCTTCCATTGCAACTAACACTTCCGAATGGAAAATGGATTCCTGTGACTGCCCAGACAAGGAGTATATGAAATTAACTAGGTCATGAATAGGATAAAGCTTCTGTCTTGCTCTCTACGTCAAGACGTTTACCCTTGGAACCCAATCACCATGTGTTAGGATGTCCAAATTAGTCTATGAGAAGAGACCTCATAGAGAAACTACACGGAGAGGCCTCAATGTAAGAAACTGAGGCCACCAGCCAACTGCCAATATTAATCACCAACCTCGTGTGTGAAGAAGCCTTCATGCCTTCCAGCTCAGCTGCACAAAAATCAAAGAGAATTTACTTCCATTTAAAATTCTGGAGCCATGATAGGGGCTTGCTAAATATGTCTTAAATTGAAATGACTCGGACCAAATCTCCTTAAGCCTTGCCTCTATATAAATCTTGGGTAGAGGGCTGATAAGCCATAAATTCCTAGGAGGGTTTTTGCACAAGGCTTAACAAAGAGTCCTTCCCTGTTTACTTGATAAAAATGAATACTTATAATGCTAAGTTTTATTATGTGACCCCCAATTCAAAGCTTTCTAGGAACCCCACTGCCTATCATATCTATTACAAACACCTAAAAGCCTTCCTCAGTTAGATTGTAGGCTCTTTCAGAGTATTAAATATAATAATTTTATAATGTACATTTACATTCAATAACTATTAGCTAAAAGTATGATTTAACAAATTAATGAAAAATTTTGGAATAGGAGATCTAAGCCTGCCACCTTTTAGTTAAAGCAGTCATTGATATGCTGCAGAGAAAGCACCTGGAAGTTTAAGTATGTTTCACTTTTAAAAAAAAATCCATAAAAGAGAAATAAAATCCCTGCCACCCTCACTCAGTAGGATACCACAAAAATTAATGAGGTAAAGCAATAAGAAGTGCTTTGAGCTATTCATATGAATTGTGCTTTATAGAGGTACTTCATTGTAATTATTCTCTGCATTTACCTTTAATGCCATATCTCAAAAAATTAGGACTAGAAAAGAGAGTAACTTTTCGGTATACAAAAGTTGTTTCAAAGTCATTTGTTCTGATCTTGACTGCTAGTTTTGTTTTTTTTTTTTCCTTACGATAATTACAATCCTCACCTTATATGCTTTGTTAGTATTTCAGATCAATGTGATAAATTAAGATAATATATTTAAAGTGACAGGTTCTTGGTAAGACCCTAATAAATACTTGTTTTTGTTATTGTTTTTAGTCAAATAGTTAGAGCAGACATTTTTTTAGAAGTTATATCAGTGCAACTTACAGAGTACCTGGAAAATGAGGGCAGGTCAAAGAAGCCAATTAAAACTGGAATGTTGGCATTCAATAGACTATCCAGAATAGAGACAGAGATCATATTCTTGGATGACAGATACATGCTTGTTTGAATGCATGTTTCTGAGTGACCTACTGTGCAATCACATCACATTTTAAAATTGAACTTTCAAAAACAGTTCACAATGATGGCCCAGTTAAGATAAAGTTGTTCAAGAAGCTCATCAATAAGTAATCATTACTGAAGCATTTTATTTTCTGGAACACAGGTGGTATAACCCCAAAACAGACTGCTTTCAATGTAGTAATGAATTAGATATGTTAATAGCCATCATATGTTCAAGGAAAGTCATGATGATAAACCTGTATTCATCACACTAAACCTATAAGCATCACACTTTCAAATTTCAAATTATATTATAAAGCTACAGTAATTAAAAGTTTAGTACTGGCATAAAAACACACATGTCGATCAGTGAAAAAAAACAGAGAGCCTGGAAATAAACTCACACATGTATAGTCAACTGATCTTCAGCAAGGAAGTAAAAGGTCTTATATCCAATTTCCAATCCTTTGAATCATCTACTGGACTAATGTGTTTTTCTCTTTAAAATGTCCCAAAAGGTTTAAGATGTCCCTGTGCTTATAGAATTTTGAAATTTCATTTTAAGGCATCAAAAGAAATTTGCTCTGTGAGCAAGTTTTTAAATTTGGATAAAGGCCTCTGATTCAGGGAACAAGCAATCTCCTTCCAACTCTCTCTTCTACTGAAGAGATGTCCCCTTCCAACCTGTGTCTCTTGGTTCTATACAAATCAATGAACTCAGGACCCAATATACTATGTCTTAAAAATCCATCTAGAAAACAATTGCTCCATTCAGAGTTCATTTCCTTCCTTTATCAGAAATTGCTGGAAATGTAATTTTGAAGCAAGCATTTCATTTCTTGTCTTGAAATAGATTGAGGTAAATGTAAAGTCAATGATTAGATAAATGTAATGTCTTGGGTTGATGCCACAATGCAATATTTGATGGTGTGGTCAGTACTGATGGATGTTTTGTATAGTTACTCAGCTGTATAATGGGGCAAATTCCCATGACTCTATTTAAAATACCATGTGGCTCCTCTCAATTAATGTTACCAAAAGTACTTTGGCACAAACACAAAGAGCAAGAGAAATTAGTGCTGAGCATGCAGTGCAGTTCTCTTTTTCTCTGCACAGAGATTGCCCTTCATACCATAAACTGTATCTGTGTACAATTTATTCACTGAGCTGCACTGTCTGCAATAAATAACACAACAAAGATTATTCCTCCATCAAAAAATCACTTTTATGAGGTTATAAATAGAAAGCCTGTGCTAAGTAATCTCCAATAGTACAGTTAAAGATTAAATCCTGCGGAAGTTAACACACCTAACAGGGGTAGGCACACAGCACTTCAGCCACAGAAACACATTGTTTATGGAGTCTCTTTATTTTAATGGCAAGAAAACATTTCTCTTTTCTATTCCCTGTTATCAAGATGCATATCACTCACTATAAAAGAGGGGAAAAGGAAAGATATAATTTTCTTTGATAAGGAATAAAAAGCGTAATATTGATAGTGCTTTCAGAAAAAATTTTTTGGAAATGTAGAGGCTAAATTTTCTGGCACACTGGTACACAGATTGCATAACGCAATAGTGAATCAAGTGACACAATGATGAATACCTTTTTTAAAGTTCTGCTTTTTGCGATGCCTGTTCTTAGGTGGTTATGTTTCACTGTCACATAGAAACTCAGGATTATCAAGAAAGATAGCCAATCACTATCATGTTTCAGTGATCAAAATGATACATTTCTACAATTTACCTTTTTTAAATTAAAACACTTAATATTTTCTAACATAGCTTACAAATAATTGTTAAAATCAATACACCAACATTTTGTTTTCTAGTGTCCTCAGGTGCAGCACAGGATAGTTTGTGATATAGAAAGATTTGTTGTCTCTCCTATTGAAGTATATGCAATCATTATTTGTAAGAAAATAATTTTTATGATTGAATTTTTAAGTTATTAGTATTCATTTTCAACAAAATCCTATAGTAGTACGTGCTTTGGCAGCACATATACGAAAACTGGAATAATACCAAGAAGATTAGCATATCTCTTGCAAATAAAGATGACATGCAAATCTGTGAAGCATTTTATACACACACAAAGCTATGACATCTTGTTCCATGCCATGAAAAAAAAAGATCATTTTTGGAGGCATATGCTTATTTTGCTTATTATGTTTCTCTAGTTTGAGGCTCCACAAATGGTGGCAGACAAGTTTTAATTGCTAAAGAACTCATACAGGACTGGCAATTATAATGCTTAGGAATCTAGGTTTATTGCAAGGACTGAATACAAAATGGCAATAGCATCGAAGTAAGGAAATGCATTTCAGCTAAATGCTGCCTCACAGCACAGATCAGTAGAAGCCAGGAGCTCACTCTGATTGTCCTCCTCTGCAGGGCAGTAGTGGATGATCAATACCTTTTCTCTCAGACCAGAAACACCAAGATAAGCACAGAACACCTCGGACCCAGGAGACCAAACATGGGCATATTCTGTGATGAAACCAGCCCCAATGGCAGAGCCCTCTGGGAGTCTCACTTAAATCAGGTGCGAACAACTATTATCAATAAACAACGTTCACAAGTCCATACAAACCACCAGAAACTTGCCTTGGCCCCTCGGGTAAAAGCAATACTATTAATTACTACAACTCATGCTTGACCATGGGTCAATACTGTCTTGGTACCTCTCTTCCTTCAGTAAAACAGCCCAAGCTAATTCCAGCACCCCAGGATTAACCCTCACAGCAGAGTCTTTCCTTGGGAGGAAAAAAGTGTGAAACGAAAACATCGACTATAAACTCTGGATACACAGGCACGGCTTACCTTCAAATCCTAATAAACAGGCATTTTCTTTGCAGGGTACCAAATGGAAATTTGTTAGAACTTCATTATTCGAGGCTCTTCAGATTCTCTAGGGAAGATGACCATCCCTGGAGAAGCCTGAAGCAGCGTAAATTCCCGTTGGGCAATCTCTCGCGAGACAGCTGGGGCTGAGGTCGCGCGAGACTGCCTTCGGTCTTTCCTTATTGCTTCGGCCGGACTCCCGGCCCAGGAGCCTCGCCCTCGTGCACCCTAGCCGGGCCGTCTTTTGCCCCAGGTCTCAGCAGAGTTACTCCATCGTCAATTGCTGGAGATTTTTCAGTTGTTGTTTCTGACCCTCGCTTGAGTGAAGGGTTTTCAATTCACACCTCGGGCAACCCCAAATGTTGCAAAGTAACAGATAAAACGGTCTTCACGAAGACTCTCTTCCCCTGACAGTTATTGAAGCAATACTAAAGATGTATAAACACCCCGGTAGTAAGGCCATGACTCTGGGATCAGTACAGTAATGCCGTCTACAATCCTCTGTTGAGGGTGCTTCTTTTCATACTATGTTTGCCCCATCATCAGGGTGAAGATGTGAGGGGAACCCTGCACGGCTTTGGGTTGGTGGTGTCTGTAGGTTTATAATCCCAGGATTTTCCTACTTGAAATTCGAAGCATTCGAAGCTCTCTCAAGGCTTTGTCCTTAAGACAGAATGTAGTTCCTAAAGTGGGAACAGTGTGGGGAATGTTACATTCCAAGGACAGGAGAGAGGGCAAAGAGCCTCTCGTTTCCCGGGTCCAGCTAGAAGGTCAATCAGTGGTCATGGCCTTTCAGTCCGACTGCTGAACATGTGCACAGCGGCTCCCTCTAGCACAGGAGTGGGCCCACTGCAGATAGGTGATGCCATCAGGTGCCCATCCCATGACGAAACACCACAGGAGCAGCAGGAGTCTAAGGTCAAAAAGACAGTATTTAGTATGAACTACGGGATGGTCTTTCCTCTGTAAGAATGAAACTTGTGGCCAGATCCTTAGGTGTTCAGAGGGCTGCAGCTGTAGGAATTTGACCTGGTTCTGCATATCATACATGTTGGCCAGGGGAAGCAGTACCATCAGAGGTGAGGAGATGGACTGGGGACAGGATGTGTCACACCAGGACTCCCACTTTCTCCCTTTTTGGTGGTGCATGTTCCCATTCAAGGTATAGTGTGTTTCAACAAGTCCAGCTTGTAGCAGGACGGTGGGGTCCCAGCGGAGATTGAGTAATTCCCCCTTCCCTATGGGCATGAAGTAACTCACCCATCCAGTTGGGATTTCCCATTGCAAGTTCCAGTAGATGACCGCTTTCCCACGTGTGATGGAGCTTAGTGTTCTCAGCAGCACATCAGTTGACCCACGCAAAGTTGGAACAATGGTCTGTCTCCTAGGACTTTCATAGCTTTATAGTTTTTGGTGCAGGGGTCCCCAGTCTGGCATATGAGGCAATAGGCCCTACTGGCTGATCATTCAAATGTATTAAAGCCTGGGATAAGTACTATCCCAGTTCACCTGACCAAAATGGTTTTAGCTGTTAGTAATTTAACCTGCTGTTTTAATAGTCCATTCTTCCTTTCTACCAACCCTACTGCTTGTATGTTATAGGGGAGATGGAATTTCCATTCAATGTCATGTTCTTTGCTCAGTCTTGAATATCACAACCTTTGAAATGTGATCCCCAATCATCGTCTCTTTGATGAGAGGATCTGCACGTGGTAGTCAGCTTCTCCAATCCCTCAGTGGGGGCAACCTGCTTTGTATGGAGACACAGGAAACCTTGGGTTAGACCACAGGCAGAGTCCACACAAACCAAGAAATATTTAGAGCCCTCAGTCAGAAGGAGGTGCCAATGTAATCAATTTGCCAATTTCTCATTGATTGGGAACTCTGGTGGATGGCCCCAGACTCCTTTGGTGTTGCTTAGAATATATAGGATATGCTTTTACTGCATTAACCAAGCATATTTCAAGGGCTATCTGGCATCCTAAGCAATATGCCATTGTATACAGGAGCCACAGTGGCCACTTTTCCTATGTACCCAATCTGCTGAATCTATTGAAAGGCCAGTTGCTAAGCTCATACCTGGGCTAGGGAATCAGTTCCTGATTGCCAGGAGTGTCAGTGCCTTAAGAGCTGGAATATGGAAGCTAGTAAGGATGGCCTTAGACTCTCAAAAGGAACGCAAATGTCTTTCTACAAATTCTGACTCCACAAGGGTTTAATCATGATTATCCACCCCTCAACTTTCCATTGTCCAAGCCATAGAGTTAACCCCTTTAAAACAACCCATCTCTCAGTGCAAAGGCTAATGGCAAGAGCTCATGTATGATCCATCACCAAGCAAACTGCTCTGAGCTCAGACCACTGCCTGCTGTGGTTCATTTCTGTTCAGTTCAGATGGTGTCAGCTTTGGGCTGAATAATGACTGCAGTTCATTCAGGCTGGTTATCCCAACTAGATCCAACTTATACCAAGAATCAGTGGGAATTTTTTATACTCCCACTCTATAGGACACTGAGGCCACCACAGAAACAGGGGTGAAGTATTTGGAGGATCTACATACTCTACAGGGCTGCGTAGTACCTACATGTCTAGAGACAGTTGGCCAACAGACATGAAGGGACTCCTCTGCTACAAATAGGACTGCAACTTAGTGGATGTGCGAGCCATGGTAGAAGTGGGTTGTGGGTTGATGGAACATATTCTCAACCCACTCCTTGATGGAAAGGGAAGTTCTTACCATGACATATTTTTCTTTGTGAGAGGCTCTACCTGGAGGGGCACTGTGTACACTGTGAGGAGCTATTACTCTGTAAGAGGGTATTGGATTTCTACCCCCTCCCAGAGCTGGAACCAAAATCCTAGAGGTCCTCTTTCTTTCTTTCATCTCTGCCACAGTATCCAACCCAGATCTTCCAGAGTTAGATATATCTAACTCAAACGGTAGCCCTGCTCAGGAGATGCCCAGAGCTTAAATCCACTTCAGTAGTTTTTGCTTGCTCAAAGGCAGCTTGTTGCACTGAGCCCCTTTACCAGGAGTGTAAGGGATGGAGGCAGTGTACCAAGTGAGAACTAAAAGTCCCCCAAAAGACCCAAAATTATTACAAAAGCTTATACCTTCTTCATGTTTTTAGAAGTTGGATAGGCCTGCATTTTTCAATAACACCTCTGGGACAAGACATGCCTTACCCAAACATATAACTACCAAAAACCTTATGGCAGTGCCTGGACCAAGAATTTTTGGTGGGTGCACTGCCCACCCTCTGACTCTCAGATGTTCCAGCAAAGTCTGCAGAGTGTCTTACAGAAAGGCAAGTCTTCACGTATCATTATATCATCAAAGTAGTGGGCCCATCTTACTTATGTGGGAAGGGAGAACAGGAAATCGTCTAGGGCTACCGACCTGTAACATATTGTGGGGATGTGTAGATAGCCCTGGGGAAGCACTTGAAAGGTCCATTGTTGCCCCTCCCACATAAAGGCAAATTGATCTTGGGACTCACCAACCAGGGATATACTGAAAAAGCATTTGCTAAGTCCAGCACAATGTGGTACTCTCCTAGGACTTTGGTCAAGATATCTAAGATGACAACGGTGTTGGCACGGCTGCATTAATGAGGAGGCACTACCATGTTTGATTATCAGTATTCCACTGTTACATGCCCTAAACCATCTCACTTTTTTACTGGCTAAACTGGGCTGTGGAAATCACTATGAGCAGAGTATACAATTCTCACCCGGTGCAGTTCTTGGATAGTTTCTTATAACCCCCCCTAACACAGTGATTTGTATTGTTTGACAGTTACCACCCTTCTGGGGCTGGTAGATCTACTGGTTCCCAGTTGGCATTTCCCCTCAGCACTGGTCTTATTACTCCAACCTGGAGGAAGAATTCACTAATAGAGGTTTGCAGAGTTTGACGTTATAGGTTATAATGTCCAATATGTTCTCTGGTATTAGATTAAAGCCTTGTATTCTCAGGAGGCAGAATGCCCAATTTGCAGTGTCAAATGGACCTTCCTTACCATAACCATTGCCCTCCATTACCATTGATGGTGCTGAGGAGGCCAGAAACATTTCATTACTGGAATGAAAATTAAAACTCCAATGAGATGCTACTGCACAACCAATTTAGCATGAACTAAGAAGTAATACAATGTCAAGTGTGGGTAAGGGTGTGGTATATTAGGGGTACTCATATCCTGCAGGTGGTATAGATATTTTGGAAACCAGTGTAGAAATACTTATTTA